AATGCTTCCCACAACAATGAAAAGACACAGTTTTGAGAAGCAGAAAGATATCCAGATAAGGCACTAAACTGCCTTTTCAGACATTAGAATTCTCTTTCCAGCTCTACAACCATGCTGCGCTCTTACATATTCTCCCTGCAAACAGGGGTTCCCTGCTTAAAGTTGGATTTCATGGTATGTAGCTGCTGAGGGGGCAGGCAGATAGGAGGAAGAAAAGCAGCTTGTAGTTTCTTCACACTATTACAATATTTTAGAACATATGTTTGTCCACAGCATTAGCATGAAGTTAAGCAGTACCAAATTACAAGAAAGGTAGTCACTACTCTCCAGAGCACCTAAAGTGACTAGTACAGTATCTTTTCCCCATGCTTCTCAGGATGCTCTGCATGCCAGTAACTTATAAAATGACATAACAATAAATACTGAAAAACATTCAGGAGGATAGCCTCCTGAAGTTACTTGAAACAAACATGAAAAACCTTTGCAAGACCGACCATTTGGGGTTCCATGACGGCTCTCTGGCAGAATTCTTGTTCTGTTAGCGTTACAGCCAATACTTTACAGTTTGGATGACATGCCCAGGAAAGCGTCTCTCAACACTTTGTATTTGATTATATAAATAGCTGAGACTGAACTTACATCAGCATTCTCATTTCAGTTTTTAAATAGGGAGCCTGGCTTAGGGATTTCTGCATCACAAAACTAAGAGAAGAAAAAGTTTCCTTGTAATACTGACAGCTGAATTTTCTGTTGGGAAGATGTGATGATCCCAGCTGTATTTATTTTACCTTCAGCATCAGTTCTGCTGGCACTTGGCTACTTGAATATAGTCTTTTCATATCTCACAATACACAAGTGAGTCCTGAATTAAAAAAAAAGTAACAAGCTATTAGCATAATGTTTCTTTCTTTGTAGTAGCAAAGGAAAAATCACATTTTTGCCATAGCCATAGGCAGACTAAATTCACACAGGTTAGAGGTTTCAAGGAGCTCTATCAATCTCTGTCCCTTTCACTTCAGGTAAAATTAAACTTTATGGACTTCCCCTCCCTCTAAACAGCACCATTTATACAGAACGATGACTATTTACCACTCCAAGTTATCACACCATGCACTCATGAGAGAAGTGCTCTTTGTACGATGAATTACTTTAGCGAATATTAAATATTAAAAACCTGGGTATTCTCAATTGTTTGTCAGACTAAATACTAACCCTCTACACTCCTGTCCAGTTGAAACTCGTATCAAACAATGTAAGTAAATACCTCCCTACTAACTAGAAGTTTCAGGAGAGAGCAAGCAAGGGAATAGCATTTACCAAGCATTTACAAGGTGCAAAAAGGGGCAAGCAAAAATTGTTGTGCTTCCCTCTGGGTACAGTTTCACACAACACCTATTTAGGTCCAACTGAACTATTGCCAAAAGATGCAGTTTCAGTCCTGCTATTACTTTATCCCTGCCTTGTGTATGTCTTGCTTCCCTGCATTGGATCATGCAGTTCAAAAACGAGCCAAATGAGCTTTGCTGATCCAAAAGAAAATTAACTGATCCTGCAACTAACAAAATCCCATCCAGAGTAAGCAGAGCTTGAAGCCCCCCCACCCCCTAATTGCCACATTACACACACAAGAAGGCTTCACTTCTAATGCCTTTTTAAAGGCACAGGACAACAGATACAGAAATGCAGAGTGGTTATAGAACTGGAGGATAATCCAGGTTTTAAGGGTCCTTCAGAGGTCACCTAGTCCAAACTTCTGCTCAAAGCAGATGTTATCTGGATGAATTTAAGACATTTTTCCAGGTATTCACTTACCATCAGGATCTGTAAAGGTTAAGTGACCAGTAAAGGTTAAGGAGGCAAGCGAAGTCTAAGAAAGGTTTGGCAATACATTCATAACACAAAAGGAGGGTGGGGGAAGAGAAAGGAGAAACACATAAGCTTGGCTACCAAATTCATTTCTTAATCAATATTCACCACTCCCACTCAACAGAAAACTCTCAGTCAGCTCCAGTTTAATCAGCACCTCACCCATCAGGACCACCACCTTTCTCCAGCAAGATGAAGAGGACAGAAGAACAGTGAGGCACAAAGGATCTTCTAGAGAGAGCGTAAATAGTAAGCTGAGGTGTGTCATTGAAGTAACACTTCTTCAGAATATTTGCCTTTAGTTAACCTAGAACAAGTTCTCATACACACATTGCTAGCCTATCAGATATGTAGAAAATCTTCATTTTCTTAAGTCAGCAGGACCTATCTTTCTTAGGCATGAGACTGCATTGGCAGCATGTGCCATTCACATGTACATATACTCTTGGAGACAGAAGCACTCTTGTTCTTTGCCTATATAGCACATCACTCAGCAGAGTCACTACCAATATCTGCATCTCTGAAACACCACTGTAATACAAGTGATAGGCATAAACAACCTTTGTGTCACAACTTATTACAGTCCTAAATATCTCTTGTTTAGGAGGCAAAGACATGAAGGGGTTGATACCACAGTAACTTTGGCTAATCACAAGCAGAAAACTTTTGCCCTTTCTTTAGGGTTATCAGAGAATAGAATGATGATCCTCAGCACTTGAGGGAGTCTGCCATTCTAGGCCAAACACTTCCCCATAAAAATCTGTTTTTGAACATGGCTTTGGGAACATCACACAATGTAAATATTACTGTTATCATTGCTAAAACATCTACCTTGGCATATGCCAAGTAAATGTTACCCCGTTGTGTTACTCACTGCCTGGTGGATTCCAGCCTTCACTTCTTCACTCAGCATGCCCTCAAACACAAAGGAATCCCCAAATTTCCTTTTTTGAGAGAGAGAGAGAGAGAGAGAGAGAGATTCAACTGTCTTGTCAAAGGATTATATTCTTAAAAAGCCAGTCACATGTACAGCTTTATTCTATCAATGATATGGAAATTCTCACAATAATTTTGAGTTCTCTTCAAAGGAAATATTTCGGGACAAAAGAGAAGGCATTTTATCTTGGGATGTCATTGTTCTTTAAGAGCCACTGGACAGATGGCAGCTCACAGAACTTTCGCAAATGTTTTTACTTCTATCTATTAAAATTATTGTTCCAGTTATCCCAATAGCTTTAAAATGATACAGTGAATAATCTAACATCGACAGACACATTTGTCTTGTTTTTCCTTTTAGCCTTGCTGTCTACTCCTCTCCCATCATCACGAGTACCTTGTTTTAAATAGCCCTTACAACATCTACAGAAGAACTAAGAGTAAGCCAATCATTACATCTAGCATTAAATAAAGCCACTGAGCAACAACTAAAGCCAAAAGAAACAAGAAATACAAGTCATTTCAGTGAATCACAGCATAAAACACCAATGCTTTTTCCTTAGTTTACTAAGTAGATTAATGTATTAGGGGAGTCAAAATGTTATTAGTATTCATTTGCTCTTCTCAATTTCTGATATTATTATAGGCATTCAAACAGTGAATGATCACCATGAGCTGCTTCTGCACGCTCAGAACTCTTCAAGAAGCACATTTGGAAAGAAGGATTCCATTCACCACCCAAACTGCAAGAAATGTTAGCATCTGACCATAGTTTTTATATATTTGGTTTTAGAAAGCGGGGGGAGGGGGGGGAGGGGGGAAAAGCCTTTTAGTTTTAGCCTGACAATTTCCATTAAGGTTTGTGGTTTTTTGTTTAAGTTTGTTGAAAAAGAAAATACTTCCGATTTAACAAGATAGCTTAACATTTGTTTTCAGCTTTCTATTTACTTTCAGGTTTCATTTGCCACTTGAGTTCAGTCTAGTCCTTAATAAGAGGAAATCAAGCATGCTGCCTCTCTTCGTCCATAATAAATCAGTCATCTGGACATTAATTAAATACACGAGAAACATACCGGCTGCATCGCAGAAAAAGCTGTGGAATCAGAGCTGTTTACTTTAATTCCAAGTTTATTTTTCCAAATCTGATGTAAAAGGTGGCCTCATGTGAAGGAGGGAGGGAGAAAGGGTAAGAGGAGTATGCAGCTACACCAGCTGAGCCTTTAAGCAGTGTCTGAAACAGACTCCATCTAAGACTCCATCTAATGTGGTGCTACATTCCGATACCATCGCACACGGGCACATTCCAGAAGCTGTTTGCAACAAGAAAGCTCTGCTCAAACTCAAAATTGTTAAGTAACCTTTTTTTTTTGTAATTATTGAGCTAACTTAAAAACAGAACTAGTGCCATAGATAAAAGAAGCCCTTCATCCAACCAGAAGGATCTTGTCTTCCAAATGAGAAACAGTTCATCAAGTGAATTCAGTGTCTCCTTTGAGACTTGATCATTACTGATGCCTTTACTTGCCTAAAAAGGCTGTCAGAGTTTTCTGAAAGTTGCGTAGGAACAGTCAACTGTCAGGAAAGATCAGAGCTTCAGGCATAGGTAGCTTCTTTCTTGGAAGAATCTTAGAATGTTCTTTCTTAGTCCATTGTTCCCAGTAACATGCACAGAACTATTATTACACTTCCTAGTATATCTTCTTGGGGCAGCAAGGCTTTTTATTACCCAGGTTAATACAGCAAGTAGCTGTACTGAACCAGCCTGTAGAGGCCTCTGCTGTCAGTTTTTTAAAACCCTTCCTCTCCCCTGCTACGCTTCCCTTCTTTTTAGGGGAACAACATAGTTATACTGGTACAAACATGCCCTAGGACCCAAAGGTGAATAGGTCTGTGCAGTCATCTTCAGTCACCTATTAACTTCACCCAGGCTGTCTCAGCCATACTGAAGGAAAGATTTTTATTTCAGATACCGAGACGCTTACTAGAGGTAACAGAACATATCCGTCCTAATGCTCTTTCAGGCCCCTGGGCAACAAAGCAAGACAGTTTAATCTTCCCGCTACTGTTCTAGTGTGTAAACCCCAAGCAAATACTACATCACAATGTCTTTCAAAAAATCCAAAGCCTAAGTTTTTTGAAGGGGCCAAATAGCCAACACAACCAAAGAGGACAAGAGACTGTATATCCTTCCCCCTTACCTCAGTAACATATCCAGTTGAATTCACAAACATCTCAAAGTCCTCATTGCTGACCTCATACTGATCCATGTAGAAACTGCTAACATGGACTCTTCTAGCAGGCCATTCTCCATCTTGCTGTATTTCAGGCTCATCAGTGCCCATTGTGAACACCCCTCCTGGAACAGTGACCATCTACACAGGAAACAGTAACACCCAAAAGGTTATTTTCAGTCCCTTATACACTCTTACTATTCTTCGGCCTCATCTTTGGAGGTGCTCTTGCTTTGAGCAGCACTTCACTGCCAGATGAAAACAGTACAACAAAATGACAACAGTAACATCTTGAGCACCACCTGCTTGGAAGGAAGAGTAGGCAGAATTAAACTGAACGGAAAAATTCCATGTGTGGCTCTTCCTTCACTAAGGCTGGGTAATTCAGAACTTTTACTGAGGGTAATATCTGTGCTCTTATGAGGGGAAACATGCTTCCCTACGGTACCCAAAGGTCAAGAAACAACCTGGAGTCCCTTTTATTCATTTCTAGATAAAGAATTCCAGCATTTCACTGCTCCTGCGAAGGCTCGATCCATCAGTGAAGAACCTGGAGATTATGAAACCATGAAGTGCTCTTGCGGACAAGCACAATGTAATTGTTCGCATACTAAATACACGTGGGATTTCACTTCCTAACAAGATTACTAGGCATGCTGCTAGCAGTCAGGTAAACCGAGCCCCTGCAACTCTGTGTACCAGAGATACAAGGCATTTTCCTATCGGTTATATTCCACTGTGCAAGACCGACCGTGGGCAGGAACCTCAGGCTTCAGAAATAAAGGACGACTGACAGAATAATATTTTAACTGTTTCAAATTAAGATTTTTTCCCCCTTTAAGGCTTCACCCAGTTTCTAGGGCAACAAGATACACTTTTCCCTCCGCGTTAGAGGGCTCGTTCTCCAGGCAGAAACCCTAGAGGTCTTGTCATGCTCCTTCAAACAAAAACTCCGTCTTTCCCGAGACCCCTCTGAAGAGGGCAAACTGATCCAACCACTCCTCACCTGGCAGCAGTTCACCCAATAAACGAGAACACTGCTCAGAAGCCTATGCTGGAAGGCAGAATGACACCTCAGGCTTTGTAAAACCTTCCCAGGGGGCAGGACGCTTTTCAAGGGCTGGCATTACCCAACAGCTAGCTTGCCAAGAAGTTACCCAATTCATCATCAAAATATGAAAGAACTAGGGAAGAAAACTCCCTTTACTTTCTTGACAGTACTCCTGGGCTATCCTCACCCTCTAATTCACCTCAAATTCAGCCAACTCACTTCTCTGTCAATAAATCAGAGGTTTATGAGGGGGTGAGCCCCCAGAAAGCCAGTCAGTACTAGACATAGGTATCCATTATAGAAAATAGTCAACGATATCTTATTGCACCTGAACACACACTGAATAGTGTGTGCCATGACTACACTGCATATACAACTCTTACAGAGAGTTCAAGCACACAAACCAGCAGCAGAACCTAAAATGAGCAAAGTACTCTTAAGAAACAGCAGTATTTTCTGCAAGATCCTGATGTTTGGCATGTAGGGAATTCAAGCCCAATAATACAAACATTCATTGACAAAGAAATTTCTAGTGTAGCATACTTCTAATACCATTCCAGAAACATAGTTTAAGTTCTGACAAGAAAGTCTGCATTTTAGCTGTATGGGAATTCACAAAGAAACTATATATATATATATATACACACACATATATGTATATATAGTAGAATAATATAACATGCAATGTGTATATTAAATGTAGCCACATTGAAGAGAAAGTTATAAAGGAACTGATTTACCATTACTTGGATTAGCAAGTGGTTCATCGAGCCAGACACGAACTTTGGACTTTGTACATATAGCCATTTTGCAGCATGGCCTAGATTATAATACCTTGATTCCTCTCTGGTTGGGATTTTTTGTTTTCCTGCTTTACAAGATTCTCTTCATACAGCTGGATGCTTTCACCAGAACAATTTACTTGGATGTCCGCTCTGACTCACTGACCAGGAAGACCAAAAAAATTAGCTAACTTCCAACTTCTGGTGCTTATTGTTATTTATGTAGTTTACAACAATTCCAGAGTATCATATGATCTAAAAATAAGTCTACATCAGATAAGCAGTGCTCCTTTCTATTTGTCAGAGAAGCTGGAGTATTCGACATAAACCTGCACATCTAGTTTCACTGGACATGCACTACATTCAATTCTCTTCTCCGTTATAGATATCTCCTTTTGCTTGAGTCTCTCCCAGCAACATTTATAAAAAACAAAGCACCCACCAACACCCACAAATCACACAACTCACGGCAGGCCTCTAAGAAGCACTACACATACTTTTTCCTTTGAACTAGCTACACATCATCACTAGCATCACATGCATCACTAGCTGCACCATCATAATTTTTTTCGCCTGTAAAAAGAATCTAAGCACTTAACAGATTGTCTTTAACAGAATCCATAAAAGGGGTTAAGAGGTTTTTTAGGACTTCAG